CAAAAAGTCAATGACAAATGGTTATACAGGGACCTTTAGGAGATCTAATGGCCATGCACACAAAGTTTCTAGTGATCTTAATGGTTCTGGGAATTGTAAGCAATGAAGGAGATGTCATAAAAATCACCTCTTTCCTTAGGGATTAAGGGCTGACACTACTGGTTATAAGGATGTTTTAGAGAGAGTTGTGAGGTCTTTGCTAGAGAACATGAGCAAAAGAAAACATGTCACCCCCAAATATATGGCCTCTTAACTCTCCAGACATGAATCCATTGGACTACTGCATATAGGGCATAGTTGAGAGGTAAGTCAATTAACGCCCTAATAACATTATAAAATCTCTGAAGTCTGCAAGTACAAGCACAGTGTCTAAAACAGATAAAGATTATCTGACTTGGGCTATTTTCCTGATTAAGTGTCTTGGCTTCAGTCACTTTCCCACTGCCATAAGCCTGCTGCTCTTTACCTTTTCCATAAATCCTTTCATGGTAATTGTTCATATGAGCTCTTCACTGTGGGACCTGGACTTTTCGAATTTAAGCAAAGTACTAGACTGGCATCAAGATCCCATTAATACAACTGAGCTGGCTAGATGCAACCGTAAGTTCTATGCTGACAGTTTATTTTCTCACACTTCTCACTTGTGGAACTCTCTTCTGACTCCATGCTTTCGAGCCAACTTTAATTTGCAAAAATTTAAATGCAATATCAATCACTATCTACTGTCCTCCTGATTACTCTTTCCTCTTCCTGCTCATTATTAATGTTTCTGTTCCTAATTCTTCCACACCCTGTAACCCCTTGTGTCTTAGTGGCTTTACTCTCTTACTTGTGGAACTCCCTTCTGGCTCCATGCTTTCCAGCCAACTTTAATCTGCAGAAATCTAAATGCAATATCAATCACTATCTACTGTCCTCCTGATTACTCATTTCTCTTCCCACTCATTATTAATGTTTCTTTTATAACTTCTACATCATCTTGTAACCACTTGCGTCTTAGTGGCTTTAATGCCTTGCATGGAGTGATACCAATTAGAAGAAAAATGCTAACATTTCAGACTTCATACTGAACCAGCCTTACCAATGCTAATCATGGATTCATTAAGCAGATGCAGCAAGAAGCATCTAAAGATTATTGACGCCATTTTTTTCTAAAATAAAGCTTTTCCTATGCATCCTCAAAAAACTGAGCCATTCTGTACACAGATGACCCTGTGTGGATGGTAGACACAAAGTAAGGTATTTCTAGACAAGCTAGCAAAGGAAAGCAGGAAGAAAAGATGAATTCTCATTTGTAAGAAGGCAATGTATGATAGTCAACAAGTGGAACTGCTCAGAATGCAAGCTTCCTATTGAAGGTCTCAAAATCAATCAAATACAAAAAATTTAATATCCCAATGGAATCTTAATATCTCAATGGAAAATGTGACATAGAAATCCAAAGGCGCATTAGAACAGTGAACCTTCCAAAGTATTAAGAAACAGTAACATTTCATGAGAAACAAAGAATAGAGTACTAAACAACTTTGTAATATTGGCAAACATTGATAAACATGCCCACAATAAGACAGAGTCAAAATGGCTGCTTTTTCTATGGCACCACTTTTTTTTTTTTTTAACTACCTTCAATCTTCAGCAATGTTTATTGTTTTAATAAAGCAATGATTAGAATTGGAATAAAACCTAAATACATGATGAAAGTGAATTTATACATAATTTTTTTTTGTTCTTGAGAATGGACAACAAAAATATTAAACACTATTTATTTATTGGGATGGTTGGCAAAACATTGGCTAATTCCCAATGGATTTGAACTTTATAAAATACTAAATAAATATTTAAATAGAATAGTGAACCTTCCAAAGTATTAAGAAACAATAAAATTTTATTAGAAACAATGAATAGAGTACTAAACAGCTTTGTAATATTGGCAGACATTGATAAACATGCCCACAATAAGACAGAGTCAAAATGGCTGCTTTTTCTATGGCACCACTTTTTTTTTTTAACTACCTTCAATCTTCAGCAATCTTTATTGTTTTAAAAAGCAATGATTAGAATTGTAATAAAACCTAAACCTCCCCAGAATCGATACTTCAAATATACAAATCAACCATTCGCCCTTGCATGGAGTATTGCTGCCATATATGGTCTGGGGCACCTTCTGTTTACCTCGGAGTTCTTGACAAGATCTAGAGATGGATATGTAATATAATTGGCCCTGATCTGGCGTCTCATCTACAGTCACTCTCTCACAGACACACCATCGCCTCTCTCTGTCTTTTCTACAAATACTTTCATGGTAATTGCTTCGATGAGCTGCTTTCACTGGTTCCCAGACTCCATGAATTCAAGCGCCCTATGAGGCTGGCATCCCACTCCCACCCTTACACTGTAGAAACTTTTAAATGTAGCCGTCTCTTCTACTCCAATAGCTTCCTACCTCGCACCTCTCGCCTGTGGAACACCCTTCCCAATTACTGTTTCCCTGAGAGCTATAATCTCCAACTATTCAAATGTAATGTCAATCGACACCTCCAGTTACCTTGATCTACCCACTATCACTCTCCTCATCCTTTCTTCTACCACTCCTATCTGCTCTTGCTCCAAATCTTCTGCAACCCCCTGCATTCTAGTGGCTTCACGCCTTGCTTGGGGCATAATGCTTAAAAAAAAAAAAAAGTGAATTTATATATTTTTTTTGTTCTTGAGAACTGACAACAAAAATGTTAAACACTATTACATTGTTTAATTAAAAGAATAATTTTATATTGGCAACATTCTAAAATATAATTAAAATTAGTACAATGTAATATTTATCATTTACCAACTTATAAAGAAATAAATATGAAAACAATTTTTTATCCATAAATTTATAAACATTCACTAAATTATTAAAATATGTGAACCATTTATAAGGGAATCCTTATTATTTACCATTTTATAAAGTTTGAATCAATTGGCAATTAGCCGATGCTTTGCAAACTATTCCAATAAATAATAATTAGTGTAAATAATCAATCTAATAGTGTTCATTATTTTCATTGTCAATTCTCAAGAATAAAGAAATTGTATAAATTCATTTTCATCATATGTTGAGGTTTTATTACAATTCTAAGCATAACTTTTTAAAACAATAAACATTGCTGAGGGGTGACAGTTGGTAAAAGTGGTGTCATGGGAAAAAACATCCTTTTGTGACTTTGTTTTATTGTGGTCATATTTATTGATATTTGGATATGTTAATAACAATCATCCTATATATAAGTGAATGCTGGACAGTATCATCATAGATGAAGAGAAAGCTTAAAGCAACAGAAATCTAGTTTGGCAGAAGGATAACGAGAATACCAGGGACAGAGCATGTGAGTAATGAGGATGTTTTAAGGAAAATTAGAACAAAAAAGACACTTGTGTTGAGCATTAGAAAGAGTCAAAATTTCTGGGACACATAATGAGGAAAGAGGGCTTGGAGAATTTAACACTCAGAGCATACTGAAGGCAATACAGGCAGTGTGAAAAAAGAGTTACCGTAATTCCCCATGTATAATACACATTTTTTTGTAAAAAAAATAAGCAAAATTAGCGTTACGTATTATCCAAAGCTACAAAAATATTTTAAAACCTTGCTATTTCATAGGTTGATCTCAGTTGCAAAATGGCTACTCACCACAAACATATGACAATTTGACACTAACATTTGGCAATTGCAACCCCATAAGGATGTCAGATACAATCATATGTACCTAACAATACTTACAAATGTAAAAATAAGAATTATGATAAAACTAAATTAGAATAATATTATTCTATGTTTAAAACCATGTTTTTTCTAAATGCAAGTAGGAAACGCTGGCTGTAATGAAATTGGAGAGGTACAATTTATAGGGTTTGGTTACTAAACAGGGGTGCATATTATGTGTGAGTAGAAGCATTTTCCCACACTTTCAGCACAATTTTAGGGGTGCGTATTATGGATGAAAGCGTATTATACATTGGGACTTATGGTAACCTACTTAATGGGCTTGTGCAAATGGATGAGAGATCAGGGACTAGGTATGAAAGTAAGCAAAAAAAACATTGTTTAGAGCTATGAAGTTGTGGAGAGCCATGTCTTAAAGCACATAAAAGAAGAAGAATGATCTCTTTATTATGAACCTCTGTAAAAATATCAAAGGTCTTAATAAGAGAGAGAGAAAATATTGCTTTTGTTATAATGTATACTTGACCAAAAGGTTAAATAGTTGTAAAGAAAGTGTCGTACTTCTTCTCTGTGCTTGTGTCCCTTCACGACATTGGCGATCATGTCTCTCCATAATTTCCTCTCCTTTGTAACTCTTAATAAATTCTGTCTTTTTGTTATCTCTCCACCAAACATTTACTCAAGTTCACTATGTAGGTTATTCATTGTTTTCCTCTGTCCCTTTTGTCTTCTGTATTTCCTGTGAGTAACAAATTTTCCAAGCCCTCTTTCCTCAAAAATTTCAACCATCTCTTCCTGATGTTAATTATAAGTGTTCTTTTTGTTTCTATTTTCTCTAAAACTTCACACACTTGATCACACTTTCAGTCCATGGTATTCTCAGCATCCTTCTGTAGAACCACATTTCTGTTGCTTCTTCATCTTTGAGGAGACTGTCACGTATTGACTGCCATATAGGGGAACAGATAACCATTCATAACCATTCAGTATGCTTTTCTTTGTTCTTAATGAAATTTTTCTGTTTCTTAATATTTGGCTTAGCTTTTAGAAGGCATCTTTAGCTATCCCAATGAACTTTTGGATTTCAGTATCACACTTTCCAGCCTCTGTTAAAACACTTCGTTGATATTTAAATTGTTAAACTTGTTTGATTTTGGTATCTCAAATTTTTAATTTTCATGTTAGGCCATTCATTTTGCAAACAACCATGCATTCTGTTTTCTTGCAATTGATAATTAGTCCTTTCTTCTTGCTTTCCTTCACTACCTTCTGTAGAAATTCTTATAGTTTCACTTACCCCAGCATAAAACATTTTATTCCTGAATCTGCTGTTAAACTTTTCAGGGTTAGCTTCTGTAAAAGAAAAAAAATAACAATGTTGCATTTAATATTTAAATAATGATAAAAATTCATACATTACAATATACAAACAATAAAAAGAGGACTCTCATTCATTTAGCAAAATTTTGTGCAAACAGAGCTCTCCTTTTTTTACATCATTTTTAAAACGCAGGTATACATCCTTTTGCATTAAAATCAGTTCATAAGTTGTGTTACAAAGAACTGTTAGAACTTTATTTATTTGAGATGTTTTTTATGATTGATTGTTTTTTATGATTTATCAACCCTTTGCAGGTTATTTAAAGTCAGAAAATATTTTTAGATTGTAAGAATACTTTTTTTTTGATGATATTTTAGTGATCCAAGTCTTTACTTATTAACCTATAGCTGGGAGGAGAAGCAGTGGCTTCATACCTCATCAGAGTTTGATAAACAAATAAGCATTAATGTGGATAGAAAATGGGGGATCAATTCTATATTAAAATCAATATATGAACTGATCTCTCACTTTATGGCCACTGTATTTTCTATACATTTATATCCCAGAGAATGTAAATAAATCTAAAAGATATGACAGTGAAGGTAATCAGTATTCCATTGACTTATTCATTCATTTTCTATGGCTAATCAACCCTTTGCAGGTTATTTAAAGCCAACAAATATTTTTAGATTCTAAGAATTTTGCAAAGGGAGAAGAGGTAGATTCATGTCTTTCAAAATTTGATAAATATTTAAAAAATATAATGCAGGTATAAAGTAAGGGATCAATTCTATATTGCAATCGATATATAAACTGATCCCTTACTTTATGGCCAGGTAAATTATATAGATTTATATCCCAGAAAATGTAAATAAATCTAAAAGACATACCTGTGTAGCTAATCACTATTTCATTGATTGATTTATTTTCTATGGCTTATCAACTCTTTGCAGGTTATTTAAAGCCAGAAAATATTTTTAGATTGTAAAAATTGTTTTTTTGAGATAATACTGATTTAATGATACAATTCTTACTAATTAATCCATATCGGGGGAGAACAGGTGGATTCATACCTCTCCCAGGGGTATTTGTGTGTAAGTGAATATAACGATCCTAATGGGAATTGGAACTCACTTCTCTGAATAACAGGTCCGAGCCATTATCCATTACACCAACCACACATCCAAGCTTATGGTACCTGGTGTTCCTAAGTAGTCACCCATCTAGGTACTGACCAGGCTTGAGTTTGCTTGAATTAGGTGATTGTATGGCAACTGGTATTTAAATGTAATATGGCTGTAAGCCTTATTTAGGAAGGATATTAGAATAAACAGTCAGTTAAGTGCTATACATGATACATGTCTGTTTTGATTAATAACTAACTAGGCAGAAAATTTTTCTGTGGACTAGTTGCCAACCAAGGCTATAGGATATAATCTGTCCTGCTTTTCAATCCATAGCCATGGGAAGAGATAGATATACACCTTCCCCAAGGGTATTTGTGTATAAATGAATGTAATGAACCTGATTGGATTAGAATAACCCAGAACTTATATTGAGGGCAAACCATCTGCATATGGATAGAAACTGAATTCAGTTAATATACAAAAATAGAATGAGGTGTAAGACAAAGATGGCCTCCCACTAGATTTATATAGTGAATCAATCCTGAGAGAAATCAAATTCTACCAAGATTCATTATTGGTGGCAACAATCTTAACAACATTAGATATGTAGATAATACAGTGTTTGACTGCAGACAGAGAAAGGAATCTACAGGGACTCCTAAAGGAGTAGAAAATGAAAGCAAGAAGAAAGGACTATTGTAAGAAGAGACAATGTTTGGTTGTCGAAACTGTAAAATGTATCTGTATCTTCTACTCCAACAACTTCTTCTCTCGCACTTCCAAACAGTGGAACTCCCTTCCTCTTACTTGCTTTCCTGATAGCTATAATCTTCAATTATTCAAATGCAATGTTAATTGACATCTTCAGATGCCTTGATCTAATTCCTCATCCTTCTCTTCATCCTTTCCTCTTTCATGCCTTTTTACTCTTGCTCCCACACTCTGTAACCCCTTATATGCTAGTGCACTCCTGCCTTGCTTGGGGTGAAATGCTTAAGGAAAAAGAAAAGAGAAACAGACAAGAAAAGGTCAATTAGCTGGATTACTTCAAGAAATGTTTTTATCCAAAGGGGCATGTGACTTGACCCAAAGAGTTATGAGTTCAATACCTGGCCCCAGCAGAGGTGAACAAAAACTTGAAAAACTGAAACTTGAAGTGTTGAATTACTAAAGGAAGATAACTGAAACTGAGATATCCAGAAAAGGCATGGCATGTGGAACTAGAACAATCTACCCCTGTGGACTAAAAGGGTTCACTTTGAAATTCCAATGTATATAACCTGAAGAAGGTCGGAGCATACAATGGCCAAAACTTTGTGAATATGACTATAAAGACGGGGACAACAGTCAAAACAATCTAAATTGTGTAAAGACACTGGTTGTTATATGATTGATCATTTTTCTGGCATATGTTGTCATTGCTAATCTGGGAATTTTGAATTTAAGCTTGGTGGTTATGAGTTCAAACCTTGACTCAAGAGATCTGATTTAATGAAAGTGACATGTAATATCACAAAGACACCTTTACATAGAATTAACTGATGTAAAATATCAGCTTTTTGTGGAAAACAGAATGAGAACAGTCTATCCAGTGAATAGAAGAAAGTGTTCAGTTTGAAAATCCTGGAAGGTTATCTACTAAAACACCTGAATAAGTCTGAAGGGTAGAATAGCCGAAATGTTTTGAGTAATAACAACAAAGATAGGGACACTAGTCCAAAGAAATCATTACATAATAGCTTTAATCTCTGCAGATGAATTATTTTGGGCTTTATAGATCCTAGTTTCATGCAATGACAACTGTTCTCTTGCCTGAGACTTATATTCAAAATGTCCCCACGGATATAAAGAGAGGAAAAATCGTTCAGTTATTGATTTTTATCTTAATTCAATCTGTGTTCATCAATGTCAAATTGCAATGCTTTAATAAATTGTGAAAGTACGAAATTCAATGTAATCCAAGATGTACACAAGAGATGAAGATTTTTGAATAGGAATGCGATTTGAAAACAAAGATAAGCTTTCAGTCAAAGACAATAGAAATTGATTCTGATATCAATATCAACCATTTGCTGTCAGTGGTTATAATTTTCATGAGAGTTTTATGAGAAGAAATAATAAAAAAAATAATTCACCAAAAAATCTAAGTCAAGCTATGACTATCTTTCTCTATACAAGTTGCAACAAAAAGAGTCCAAATCCAGAGCTCTCTCACTCTTGTTCAAGGAACCCCTCCCTGATTAACCATGTCTTCAGAGGTGGAGTTGTTCTCACATGCTTAGCCAATTGTGGGTTGGTGAAGCTATTTACCTCATAATTGGCAGTTTTGAATTTAGAGTTGTCGTCCTCCTAGACAGGCTGCCACCCAAGGCTATAGAACTTAGTCTCTGCTGCTATTTACCCATAGCTTGGGGGAGAAGAGATGAATTCATACCATTCCCAAGGGTATTTGTAAGCAAATGTGATGAGCTCGACTGAAATTCAAACTCTGCTCCCCATGTCATTAATCCATTACTGTATTTTCTAGCTTATAAGACACACTTTTTTTCCTAAAAATATGTGTGCATCTTCCAAGATGAATGTAAGGCAATGCCCAGGCTCAAATAAGCTTGGAGTGTCACCTAATTGGCTTGACTAATAGGGATATGGATTTGTATGTTGAGTCATTACACTATAATGTTACCTATCTAATTCAGCCTTTTATATGATGTAGCCTCAGTACTTAGCTGTTACAAGTATTTCCAAGATCATAAACCTTCCTGGAGCCAAGCCACAAGCTTAAACATGCTCTGTTTACTAGCAGAAGCAGGGGCCTTTCTGCTCGACTAGTATGTCATTACCATACAAACAAAATTGGATGAGCGATTAATGTAAACAATACATGGTGCCAGTATGTGAGGGATGCATGGCAAATGTGTTGTATGAGAATGACTTTTTTTCTTAGAAATTTCTTTCCAGCATTAGGGTGCGTCTTCCAAGCTGCAGCATCTTGTAAGCCGAATAATGCTGTAATCCATTATCCATCAATCCACAATGACAAAAATGCAGATTTGGTTTAAGTGGGAAAATAAATGTGTTGAACAGAATTAATAAAAGGGAATGATCTAAAAGGACATCAGCAAAAGACACTAATGCATTTGATGCCTGTGTACTATTCATTTCCAATTAGCATGCGCATCATGGTTGTTAAGCTCACTTAAATTTGTCTAACAGATTGAGACAGCTCTTAAGGAGATGTGATTAAATATACTTTAATGTTTAAAAAAAAATTATTCAGTATTATTATTGTTTAGGTAATAAAAATTATAACTTAGCACAAGAGGAATTATTGCATTTTTTATGTATTTATGTTGTTTTTTTTTTTTTTATCTTTTATCAAAAACGATTTTCTTGTATGTGTAGTTATGGATAATATTATAAATTCATTACTAATTTTTTTTTAATTAATAGCTATTTTTTCTCTTTTGTTGACATTCATAGCTATCTGTTGATGTGTTAAAATTTTGTAAAAATGCAATAATAAAAATTTAAATTTCATCTTCTGATTGATGTGATCTGTAAATTGTTGGACCCATCAGAAAAAAAATATTTTTATTCTCAAAAATTTAAAAAAAAATTTCAACTAAATTTTTTTTTTTTTTTGCTTGTGCAAATAAATAAAAAGTACTTACAGATCATGACAGCTATTAGGGAGATGTAATTAAATATACATTAATGTTTAAAAAATTATTCAGTATTATTATTTTTTAGGTAATAAGCATTGTAACAGCACAAATAGTTATATTGTAGAAAAAGGAATTTTTGACAATATACTCATTTTTTAAAATTTTTTTAACTTTTATCAAAAATGACATGAACATGTAGTTATGGATAATTACTAATTATTTTAATTAATAACTATTTGT